TGCAATAACACTAAGATGACATTAGTTGCATTCTTTTCATTCATTTCAATCTTTATTTCGAACAGATTAAAAAAATAACAAATAAAAAATAACAAATGTGAAAAAACAGAATACTGTATTGTTAAAAATACAGTATTTATCCACATTCATGATACAAAAAAAGTCTTCATATTAATAATAATATTTTAAAAAATCATATGTGTCCGAAAGGGAGTAGGAGGAAGCAAATGCTTATTAATTCCCACCCCTTACTTGATCAATGATTGTCCTTTAAATCATTATGCAAGTTATTCCTACTTACATTTACACATACATATACAATAATTTCTCATCTTCAATCACCTCTATTGAACTGATCTTTTTAATAAGTTGTACTTACAATTTAGTGAGAAACATGGGCTTGTGCTTCGCTGAGGATCTTTGTCATTCTGACAGGAAGGCAACTGCAGTTATTACACTTCGTGTTTTGAAATATGTGTAACTCTAGTCTATTAATATAAAACCCAGACTGCTCAAACTTCGTTACTTTTCCTAAAATTAGTATATTTATCTTTTTTTTTTCTTTTTCTCATTAACATAAAATAAATCTCACATACCCCCTGCAGTACTCCAACGTACCCCTAGGGGTCCGCGTACCCCCATTTGAGAACCACTGATATAGACGGTTCGGCCACACGAGGACGACAGGGAAACGCAAAAACGATAACTGGTCCCAAGGTAGATAGATATGCAGACGCAACGCTCTGGGGGGGCAAACGGCTCCGAGATTACGCCCTATACGCTAATTTCCTGATAACGAAAATACTGACGGGCTGTCAGGAGAGAGGGAGGAAAAGAGAGACTCCACATATTATTCTTATATTATTATATAGAGTCGTTATTCATTTGTTTTAAAGCTCAATAAATAACAAAACAGACTTTGATCGGCAGTTTTATATTTTTTGTCCGGAAGATTCAAACTTTAACGGACATGTTTGTGGGGGAAATTTCTCTAGCAATGGAGAGTCAGGACTCAGAGAGGCACGAGGAGAGCTGGAGCTTTGATGGCAAACACTGGTGGTTTATTTGGAGTTACGGTCGGAGAATTGACAAGACAGGTGGTGTGTCACGAGTTGACACAGTGTTTGCCAAACCAATTCTGAAGAACTCTTTCTGTAGCTCGAGGTTTTAACTAGTTCGGAGTGTAATAATCAACATTCTTCATCAGTGAGACTAAAGCAATATGGACCATGAATCCAACTAGAGCTCTCGTCCATAGAAAAGAATGTGCGCCAGGGAACCTTCGTCCCTGAACAGTAAACTACCTCATGGCGGCTTGTGCTCTGTCATAGACTGGCAAGCACAATGCGCCCAAGCTGCCCCTCCTAAAGAGAGATAGCAGCAATACCCAAGGCCGTAGATCTATGCCATGAGAAAGGAGACAGTGAGAGGAGAAAATTATGAACTGTGTCAAAGTTTGAATACCTAAGCAAATGATTTCCTAACAATGTTGACCGGCGGAAAAAAATTATAACGGAAACTCTGCCGCACGGTTCCCTCGTCCCTTGGAAGAGGCGGAGAGGTGGGTGTTTTTCATCTGCTGGTGGACTACTGGGGAGATTTACAGCAGGAGTACACGCTTGCCTCGGGGAGGGAGAAAAAGAGCCAGAGCCCTGGCCCCTGCCTCTCCCCACCTCTGCTGCTAAATCCACCGCGGAGAATAAACAGAAGGGCAACCATGGGAACCATGCATGCTCGTGAAGTCTTCTTCACTGCTTTTGTTGTATTTTGTGGCGGAAGTACAGCGCCACTTACAGGCCCTGCATATGTACTACAGCGTATCCAGCGGGTCGAGCGGTCTCATGTGGACGGACACGTTTCTGGTGCCGATTGCGTGTGGACGGAAGACTTTTTTGATATCGAGTTCATTTTCGTTACCGTCTCCGTGTGGCTAGGGTATTAATTGCTCATGGATTGATGAGAAAGGGGGGATTAGTGTAATTTCTTTAGTGCAAACACAGCTGAAGCTGGGATTTGGCTCCAACTTTCCTCCGTAAGCAGAGTCAAACAAAGCAAGCCACAAAGGAAGGTCACGTTGTTACAATGTTTCATGCAGAAGTGTCATATGATAGACACAGTGTCAGGACTTTAATGAATATTAGCTTTTTTTAAGCATGTGGCCTCATGTCATGTAAATGGAAAGAATACCCTAAACAGAAGGCCTTGAAATAAAAACGATTGATTCACTCCAGTAATGTGTTATTGAACGACTCGTCTCCTTCTCTTGGAGCAGCTCTGGTGGAGTGTTGTCAATACAGAGTAGTTGCAGGGTAAATATCATGTGACAGAGGGCACGCATGATCAGAAATAAGGGCGGCGGTATTGCAATACAAAACCTATACAAATAGAAGACTGTTTGAGCTCTGCCTGTCTTGCTAAGTCTGCTTAAGTTGAAGTCACTAAATACTAGTTATTAGTTCATATTAGGTTGTTATTATGATCTATGTTACCCTGAAGCAAGGAACCAAGCAGTACTTGTGTTTGGTGTTGATACAAATGGATCAATATGGGTTAAATAGCCACACTCCAAATGATGGCCATGGTGGTAAATGCCCGACCCATCAGAGTGAACAAGGTTAAATCAATTCTACCTCTACAGTTCCTTTGAAGCTTCAGAAACTATAAAGCTATAACTTTAGATGTGGGTGTGACCCTTTTGCAACAACAAAGATACCTGAATATGATTGCAGAGGGTAAGGCGGTGCCTGAATAAAGAGAATAATGCCTTTCAAAATTAGACAAATAATGGCACGTTATATAAGCTTGTGTAAAGACAAATATTGAACCCACTATCTTCTATTGGGTTCCAACCACCAGGTTGAGAACCATTGATTTACTGAACCACAAACAGTGGGCTAATGTGAAAACAATGAACACAGATGTCAAGATCATTTATATTTGATAAAATGCCATACTGTACAGCTAAACTCCACCCTCTGATCCACCCACGTTCCTTTGTCCTGAGAACAGACTAAACGTTCCTTCTATTTTGGGAGCAAGGTATACAGTGTGGAGTAAATGTGAATGAAAAGGACACAGAGGGCCCCTTCCTTCATCCTCTCGCCCTTGCTCCCTCCCTCTCATGTTCCTCTTCCCTCAATGTTTGCCACCTCCCTCTGCACTGGTCAATTACTGCAGCTAAAGAGGCTTTTAAGGATCCATCGTTGTGACCAGAGTGTGCATCAACTGCATTGCCAATTATCAGGGTGCTAACAAAAAGTCTATTTTCTTTTGAACTAATGCTACATTCCCACAGAAGTGATTATTCAAAACCTTTACTATGCAGATTACTGAGAGAAGGTCATATCAACAGAGAGGATTCATCTTTGAGAAAAATACACTCTTCCCACACCACCCCCGACCCCTTCTGCCGTTAACGGGTTATTGATTAACAGTTACAAGGTTTGAAATCTCAGCAAAAGACACACTGGTTCTCCTAAAACAAAATTAAAGAATTCATTCCAGGGGTAAGTTGGCTGGTACTGGTTGTTGTTCTGGGTGTGAATGTATCCCTACAATGGCATTAAATGTAATACATGTTAGAAGGTTATTGCAACACAATTACTCTTCTATCCGCTGAATGCTACCCTCAGCTTAAGACAATAATTAAAGTACAAAAGGCTTTTGATAAGACGTATCAGGTCAGAAGGAACACAGCATGAGTGGGAAGATACCACTGGAGAAGTAAGAGTGAGCGGTATGGGTTGAATCAATGTAGCAAAAATGATCACAGCATTATCACAACACAAATATGTTGCAGTACTAAACTATTCAAAACCGACTTGATAACAACACATATTCATCGCATTGATTTGAATGTTTTTTTGTTTTTTAGCGGGCCACAATTTAATATTTTAGTATGTAAGATTTAAGCTGTGCCGTTTGATTAAAATTCAACTTTAGAAGGAATGATATTGTGACATTTTTCTATCATGATGTTGAAATATTTACTCAGCCCTAACAGTGAAAACTGATCGCTACAACTTGCAGTGCAACAACTGCTGCTAATAGACAAGGAGCCAAGTTTCAAACAAACCAGTTTAGCCCACAAGGAAATCGTAAAGTGTAAATGGAAAAGGCCTGCATTTTCTACAGTATTACTACTGCTGCACCATTCCTCCTCAGCAGTTTTAATTTAGTGTTAAAGTGAAACGCAACTGTCTACACACTTTAATCAAAGTAACAAATAGCGTTCAAAGGTTTCAACTGTGCTACCTTAAAGGCCTCAAGCTAAATGTGTCAGCAAAAATATTCAATGTTCAGTTTCACAGACAAGTAGCCTCCTCGTGTTACAAACCCCTCCCAGGACCAACAATTGTCCAACAGAAGCTTACAAATTTAACCAGGTCTGACTAGATTTGGATTTCTCAACATACTGAGGTTGTGTGCATTGTACACCATTAAGAAAAATATTCCCTATTAAATTAGTCTGTAGGGTTATGTCTTTTATATAAACCTTGCCAAAAAAACGAACTAACTAAAAGCTAACTACATTATTTTTGTTGGATTTTGGTACTGGGACAACTGCATAGGAGCCAGGATGCTAATGCTTATCAAATATTAGAGAACGGTTAGCGGCTGTGTCTTGCACTTCTTGCACGCTTTTTCTTGTGCTAGCTTTAATACTTTTTAAGAAGTGTTAAAATGACTACACATTAATTAGTTATTCTTGTAAATATGGTTCTCTAGTAAAATGCTGACTTTTTCCTACCTGAGCTTTATCATGAGTCTGTTAGCATTAGCTTTAAGACTTTTAATACAGCTCTCGGCTAAAACAAACTAGAAACATTTAAAAAGGACCAGTGCAAGTGTATACTTCTGAGGGCAATCTAAGACTAACTGTTTAAAAAACTGACTACAACAGTTCTACTGTATATTGTAAAGCGTACCAACAATAACAAGGGCAAGGCTTAGCAACAGGTACATTAGCACAGAGTATTTAGTTGAGGGATAAGACTCACTGAGGACATAGAGAGAAAGGTAGATCCCCGCCAGGCAGAAGCCCTCAAAGAAGCGCAGGGTGCTGAACATAGGGACGTTGACGGAGAAGGCCACAGTCAGACCAAACACCAGCATGAACAGCACCGAAATGATCAGCACTGGGTGGCGACCAAACCTACAGGGAGAGGTAAAGAAATGTTAAGACAATTGACACCTTCAATGTAGAAAATAGAGTTTTCAGTATTACACAGCTGTAAATTACACTTTAGGTTGTTTTGAACAACCTAAAGATTTTGTTTTGAAAATCTTACCAGTCAGCCAGGACTCCAAAAGTCAGGTATCCAAAGATGGATCCCACCAACAGAGAGAATTTGGCGATATGGACTTTCCATGCTGAATCACACACCAGACTCCACTGTAGAGACAAATAAACACAGGCATTAGTTCAAATACATTTATGCTCGGTACAAAATGGCCTTTTTATCTATTGACTAAGGTCTGTCAAATTTGATGGGCCATTATGACCACTCAAAACATAAATGATTAAAATATGAGTAGGATACGTTCTGTGACACGTTTTCCTGGTATTGCGTCCAAAAGGAACATTGTTATAATATTGATACAAGAATTACCTTTTATATGTTTATCATTCCAGACATTATGTTAAGTTATTGCTAATTGTTTAACTTTTAGTCATTAGACTCAATGATTCCCTAAAACAGCTTTCAACCAATAATGTATCCAAAGGAAATACTAATAGACTTGGTTATCAGCTAATTCAGCACAAGATAATAAGTGGTCTGCAAAATAGGATTTCTACAAGTATCAAAAAGCTATATCAATTTGTCAAAAATGTTGGGTTGATATTTTCCTCTATTAGTACATTTAGCATTATATTGAAATATTGGAAAGGTATTGTTTCTCTGCAAATCAAGATCAGGGATTAAATCATATATAATAATGACAAAAATCACTAAGCTGTCATTTCTTATTTACTTTGTGTGTATTCCTCTTTTACTGTGGAAAAACGGTGTACATTATTACAGTCAACTCTGCTTCCACTCATTTTCTTTGCTGTCTGAAACTCTCAGAGGAGGGATTCCTAGAGTGCAAACAATGCAGTGTTTGCCATTCTTTCACATGAATCAAACGCACCCAATACACAGTGGCTTTTGTCACAAGGTGTGACAAACAGACCTTGTATACAGCGTAAAACCGTAGAGAGGTTCAGAGGGAAATTAAAAGCCCAGTGGAGTATGAGCATGTGAAGTGCTAGTAGGAAGAAACTCGATACCTAATCAAATCTACCATAACCTGCAACTATGAATGCCATTGACATTATAATGTATTGATCCTAGTAAAGTAGTTTAGTCTGAAGATACATTTCAGAGAGGATATGGATTTTAGGGGTTGTTTTGGCAACATGTGCTGCACAGTTGTCTGTGCGGACAGTAGCTGCAAGATTTGGCAGACGGGCGTGGCAACAGAGCAGGTGCAATTCTGCCTCATCTATTCACCAGATAATTGCCACTATAGGGAATAAGTAACATTTACTGCCACAGAAAATCATATTCAGCGTATGTCATGTAGCAGCTCAACCTTGTCTTGAAATACAGAGTGTAGTTTGTTCTTATATTTCTTCTCTGAGGGGCTCTAACCTCTCTTAACCTCTGCCACAGTGACCTGTTTAGAATGGAACGCTCCAGGATTACCCAGAGCCACCCGGCCATCACATGATCCAAGCATGCAACTCACTCATGGTTACAGTATCGATGTCAGCAGAGGAAAAAGACAGAGGGAGTAAAACAAGTTCCTGTTGCACAATTACTACACAACTAAGGTACTATGACCAACCAAAATGAGATTAAAGTCTGAGTCTGCAAAAACAGAGGAATCAGGCACTGCGCAGCTGGAAGACAGTTTGGTAATCTGGTAATGGTTTGGTAATCTGTGCTGATCACAGACAAATTACCAATGTTTTAAAAGAAGCAAGTCACATGCAAGTGACAAAGCAGCAAGTGAAATGGAAACACAGACATTGGTATGGCTAAGATATCATAATGGGTTTTATTTCAAAGCCAATTCTTTAAAGGCCAACTCTCTAACTGGGCTTATACACAATCATTAATGGGCTTCCACACTGCTATTAGCACAATAATACCAAGATGTTTAACTATAGCAGAGCAAAGAAATCTAAGAAAACTGTTATTCTGTCTGAGCACGAGTCAAATCCTTGCAGCGTGTCTGCAATGGCCTTATTAATTCTGCCAGTTGCTCCCTTGCTATTGTCATGCTCATTTGGGAGTAGTGATTAAAGTCAGTGTGCACAGTCGGGTTATACTCATAAAAATTGTAACTGCTGACAGAAAATGCAGAACAATGAAGGGCCAAAGGGAAATCAGTTAAAATCCCCAGGGTGTCTGTCGACCTCTCTCGAATGACCGGCCACCAATGATCGGTCCACACAAGTGAGTCTCATTAGCCAAGATGAAGACGCTCTCAACTACAGTTGCAAAATTCTGCACCCGTTGAACTACAGAGAGGTGGGTGGGGGTTTCAAAGGAGGGGGAGAAGAGGAGGGAGGGTGATGGAGGAAAGCACAGGAGGAAGGAAGAATAAAGATTATACAATGTAGAAACAGAGCATACAAAGAATAAAGGGAACGTATGGGTAAGAATAACAGGCTAAAAAGAGAGGAATAAGGGATGCTTAAAAGCAGTTGTGAGGAGAAAACATAGAGACTGCTGCATAGTACTTTACTGCCTAGCAACAGACCATCATGCTGGTTATCAGACTATTTTCTGCTTCCAAGTGCAAGTTTTAGCACCACTGCTGCACCAGAGGGTTTAAATCCTGTAATGTGGTGATAGCTCAGGTAAGGGTAAAAGAAAATCACAAAAGACAAAGCTGAAATATACATTCACGCCCTGAATACTCTCTATCCTTGGCAGTTTGGTTGTAAATTAAGTCGACAAGGAAACAATACACACATATGTGACATTGCAGGTGTAGCCTGAGGGACACACAGCCTGAGAGCAGGTGTGACGTGTTTAATATAACTGTCATACTACTGTAGCCTTCAGATTATGCTATACATGAACTGATTACAACTGGCATGTTTGACAAGTTAGCTGATGGCATTTATGTTTCCCTGCAACCAGCAGTGACAGATGGTGAAACAACAAACCTTTTTTTGGCCATCTATTATTCATTGCCTAAAGTCGAAAGTTGAGAAACATAGGTAGACATATCTGTCACCAAAGCGACCTGATATGCATCAACAACCGACCAACACTCGTTCAACCTGAATTCCATTATACAACTCTATAAACAAACATGCACTACAGCGGAGTGTAAGAAACCCCACCATGTTGACCCCTCCCTGTTAGGAAACTTATCAGAAATTAGCCTGCAGTGCACACGCACACACATGTGTATGCGCGCACACACACACACACACACACACACACACACACACACAGCTTTATCTCTGGGTCACACCAGCGTCTTTCCTTCCAGCTGACGCTGTGAGTGGCTGTCATTGTGTGCTGACTGGGTATCTGCAGTGGGGTCATCATCTTTCGACAGCTGAGACTGTTTCAAAGTGTCCCACACTGATCCAGGGTCTGTGGAAGGAGCCAGCCAGCTGGGTAAACAGTATGGAGGGACACAGAGTAGAGAGGCCTGCATGGGTGTTAAACTACAGTATCAACTTTCAGATCTATGGGTGTGCGACCTCCAGCACAGTGATACTGGGTCTGGGTGTACCCACCAATATGCTTTTACAACATATCATTCTTATCGCACTCATACAATACTACAACAGAAAAACAATACACAACTGACACTGACTGAAGTACTAAATCAATTGCTCAATAAATTACTCATCTAGAGCGGCATCTAATAACTATTTCCACTATTGATTGCCCAATCGGCCCATTATTCTTCTTGTCGATTCAATAATAAAAAAAAATATATTGTTGTAAAATGAAGAACATACATAAAAATGGTCACCGTTTTTCAGAACCTAAATCTTTAGTCTTGTTTTTTTAACCAAAGAGAATCAGTTTACAATAATATCTGACATAACCGAACAATTTAAAAAGCTGTTGACTGCGAGCTGCTTTCCTGCGGTTTTTAGACTGTTGATCAGACAAAATATAATCATAAACTTGCAACTTGCATCTTATTTGTTTAGACATTTTCTGACATCTTACTGGCTAAAGAGGAATAATTGTGTGTTCTAAAGGAAAACATAGCTTGGCCAAATGTCATACTTTTGTACCAATTTAAGTTTTAGAAAATAACTATATGTTGAATTCATCAATCTCTTAATGGCTAGTGTCTCTTACACAATGAACAAGAAGAGGGCTTTCACAGGGAATCAGCATAGAGGTTAATCTTTGCTTTGAAGCAATTCTCAGCCCACTATTTCGGGCAGGCGTGTGCAGCTGCTACCCATCTGAATAGGAGCTGAGTAGGATAGGTTGCAGAGAGACTATCTGTTTCTGAGTAATGATACATTCTCATTTCTAAGGCTCAGTCCAATTAAGACCTACCCTGAGGAGAGATTTGACTCAATTAGTACGGGTCTCCACATTAACCACTCTGGATCTTTCTCCACCACCTCAACCACCTCCATCAAAGCTATCTTTCTGTGACACCATGAGACAAATGGAGTGAGCAGAAATGAACTCCTGTTACTGAAACACAAAATGTACACCACAAGGTGAAATAATCTCCATATATTTACATATTTTCCTCGCATGACATGGAGGCCTAAATGGAGTAACACGGAGTTTGAATGTGCTGGGACATTTTGACAGAGACACTACTGCATAACGTAGGTGTTGGCCGAGTTTTTTTAGGGATCCAGTGTCACAGATAGCTGAGCCCAGTCATGTGCAGTTATGCCTACAGTATATGCAATCCAAACACAGGGAGAAATGCCAAGTCATCACTTCCTATATCCTAGATCGTACATCCTAGTGTCTGCACTGCTGGAAACAACGGCCTTGGAAGAGTAAGGGATTGGCCGTCAAAATAGACGAGGCCAACGAGAAGCGATGAAGCCAATTCTGCATCACTTTTGGCTCCCATTAAATTTCTCCTGACGGTGACCTTGTCAGAATGTGGACTGGGTCAGGGAAGACGAGACACTTCACCAACTGCTCAGGGCCGTCAATGACCTACAGTAGTGGTAGTGTCAACATGACATTCTCCTTATGCGTGCAAAGGCAACATTAGCATCTACAGGTTAGCACCAGCATCCTAGGAGAGCCGCAATTGTTTTTATACCAAACCTCTTATATCAGAAACTTCTCCTTGTTTACCAAAGAGAGAACAGACATTTTTAGATTGTTAGTAATGGGGATCCAACCAATCGATTTTCATCCCATATGACTTAATATCCAGCTGCAGGTTATGAGTATTTTAGAGGCTTCAATCCGTAAAAAATGTGTTTTCAGCCTGGCTTTAGGACATGCAACCCCACCCCCTAAATTACCCTACGGACAGTAAATAAATCAAGACTTAAACTGTCCCCCTGCCTACTAGCTGGATTTAAATGCCAAGGTTATATTTTATTTAAATGGGGACAGTGTCAGTCATAAGCAGATGGGCTGTTGGCATCTCATTGGATGCAATCTCAGAGTGCCTCCCATTGCACAGAGATGCTTCAAAACCCATCTACCTGAACCTTTTGATTATAGAATGCATGCTATATTCTTTAAAGGTAAATATATTGCAGAAGATAAAGTGATTACAAGGGTATGTGAGGTTATTATTGTGTGTATCCACATTTCTGAATTTTGTCTAGCCAAAACAGATGTTGAAAATGATTATCGATCTGGTAAGGTTTCTCTTTCAATAGTTTAATTGTGCAATCAGTCTTTTCTCAGAATATTTAACCATATTATCCCATCAATCATGATATCCGGTTTGCTAATAGAGCCCTGTGGATCACAACATGCTTTTCAAAAATACAATTAGATCATTTAGTGTAAACATGCAGCATCTCCACAATAGGAGAAGAGCTGATGTGCGTAATGAGGTGTCAATCTCTTACCCCCAGACCCTCTATGATGACCAGTGCAGATAGGAATATTATAATACAATGGTAATGTGATAGGAGGCAAACACATCACAGACATACTTAAAGTGGCCAGAATAAGAATATCTCCCTGCTGTTTAGTTAGTGCAGTGATAGGGTGTGATGTTTGGCCAGGGATGGGGTTGCATTATTCTAGAGAGAGCAGTAATGACCTTTGCTCCAAATTAAATGGCTCCACGTCTATTATGTCAAGTACGACGACAAATGACTACAGCCCTGGCAGTATTGCCCAATGTGCCAATAATGGCGTCTCTCTGCGATAGGACACACTTTGTGTCAGCACCGTGCATGCTCCCACATAAACAATCCTACCACTTTCAGGTCCAATGTGAACCTAGTCTGAGAATCTCTACAGAATATAAAAAAATGAATCAGTGCTAGATGGCCCACTGTGGAGAAATACACGCCTTTGATGCTCTTTTGAGGCACACCTACAATCCAGAAGCTGTCAAATAATGTATATTAACACGACTGCTGCTGATTGAAAGATGGGTGTAGCGTTCATACGGGAAGAATTTCCTCTGCTAACGTAAATCGATCCTAATGGGATTGGGGCGGATAGGGTGTCAAAGATGCATCAAACAATATGATAGAGTATGTCCACCCATAAGATGGACAGCTTACCTTGGTAACCACGTTCTGTACGAGCCCAGTGTGCAGCTCGAAAGTCCACTCGCTGCACCCACACTGCATGTTGGCCGTGTCATTGTGGGTACCGTAACTTCCATTGGCATACATACGAGCTGCCCGCGCACTGATGTTTTTTGGACCGTCCAACAACGAGGAATGGGTTGCATTATGATAAGTCAGGTTTGCCAAAGGCTGGATACATGTGTTGTTCGGCTGGGCAAGGAGGAAATTATCAGAGTACTGGCTGAATCCAATGAATAACGCCGGGATCCATGTCAGCACGATCAGCTGTTTCTGGTACTTCCCAAAACCCCCGAGAAATGGCAGCACGGAGCCGTCGGTGAGTGTCAGCAGCCCCGGCGACGTGGTTTCGGGGGACACGAAGCCGTTCTCAGGTTGGTGGTCCTCCCTGTCGAGCTGCACCACGGCCATCGCGGTTCCGCCGAGAGATGCCTCCGTTATGAAGCGAAGTCCTGGTTGCAGTGCTACCCCCTGTCGACTCCACAATGCGTCAATGCCCCCAGCTCCGCCGGTGAAAGCCGTGCGCAGTCAATCACTGGAATGGAAATAAGACGCACCTCTTTATTATCAGGAAGCACTTCACCCCGTCTGCCAGCAAAAACCCCGTGCGAGATTCACCGCAGGATCACGCACCGACACAAAGGCGGATCGCAGAGAATTGGAGCAGTGAAGAGGGGAAATACTTCATGATCTTGTCCCTCGTCTCTTTTCGTTTTGTCTGTGTCGGTCAGCCGTGGCAGCTGAGGGAAGTGCTTCCTGCGGGAGCCACAGGTAGCCTAACACACCTGCCCATAAAGGTTGTGTGCATTTTGACTCTTCCCCAACATAACCACTAGTAACCACTTTGAAAGGAAAATGCTAATTCTATGTGAAACATTTTCAAGTCAATCCCTGAAAACAACGTTACATAAACTAAAAAGACACCAGTGCTTTTAATTCCAATTATTTGATATATTAGATGTATTAAAAGTATTAAAACATGTTTGTATAAATAACATACAGTTGACTATGTGCTTTTATAGCACATATTTTGCAACTCTGTGTACTGTAGTCCTATAGACTGCATGGTAGTGTATTTTTTTAAATCAAACCATGGCAACCATAGTTCCACACATTCTAATGGTGCAGTATCTTGGGTTCTTCCGTTCTTCCAAATAACATTGTCCTTAAAGGGGGGGTAGGTAATTTTGAAGAAACCAGCTCGAGTGCGCTAGAATTTGAAAATACACAGCCGGAAAAAATCTGCCACTTCCTTACAGGGCCCCTCCTCCAACACACACGCGCACATGACCAATGAGGGCACGAGATAAATTTGTGCACAGATCTGGCTGACAGGCAGGTAGGCCATCCAGTTATTTTAGCCGGGCCGGCTCAAATGATTGGTGCTTTTTAAATTACTACGGCTTCCACAGATTAATTTTTTTTATGGATTTTTTGTCAAAGAACTTAAGATATTCATTGCTATCGAGCCGGTTTCTCAAACGCACCTACCCCACCTTTAATATTGTAGTATAATGAATGAATATAGCCTACATAAATACAAATATTTTTGCAATTTTAATTAATTGCAATTAATTTTTTAATTGCACAGCAAGTGTCCTATTGACAGAGGAGGAACTCTGTCCACACCTTATATACAGTCTATGGTCCACACCATGGATGTATAATAAGAACTGGATACAGCGTGGGAGGCGGGGCCTCATTCATTCCTATGAGAGCTGCTCATTAGCGCATGATGATAAAATGGCCCAACTTTTGAGAGTGAAACGTCACAGATTACCCAGCATGCCTGAGAAGTACCCGTATGTGCACTCAAGAGAGGCTTCTCAATACTCAAATTTCCCCTCCTCGACTCCCCTCCTCGGTTCCCCTCCTCGAGACTTAGACCCGCCCACAGGAGATGCGAGCGGAGGACCGAGGAGGGGAACCGAGGAGAGAGGAGGGGAAGCAGCAGACGTTTAAAGAAATGAGAACTCCTCTCCTCTGAGCGGTCATTTTAAAGAGACGTCCGTTCATTATTACGTGGCAACAGCTGCATCAGCTGTCGAGTGTATCTCTGTTGGATCAGCTGAACATTGTTCCCCCACATATTTACTTAATTCATTGAGAGTGCGGTATAATGAGACAATAACAGGCTACAGATGCGGACACAAATATATTTATATTGTAGTGCCGTGAAAAGAGAGTCGGAGGCGGTGTATTAAGAATGGAGTTCCAATCTTTATTATCCATTACTTCAGAGAGGTTAACACATGCACTGCTCTGCCATGATGAGCTAGCAGGAATGGCAGCTACAGCTACAGGTGTTCCCCACTAAAGGGTCCGTGTGGCAACACAATAAGCAAGGTGAATTATGTCCAATAACGTGTCACCACACAAGCCCCCCCAGAATTCACACATAAACAAAATCAGCATGGCGGGGAGGAACGACACGCCGACCCCCACGACTCCTGAGCACGGGAGTCGGAAAAGTGACTCCCGCCTGTGCGGCCCCCGGAAGGGGAGGGACCGGGACAACAGGTCTTAAATCCGTGACAGGGGACGAGGCCGGGGGGCGGCCCCGTCGCGGAGGTCGAGCCAGCACCACAGGCTGGTCCAAGTCCAGGTGAGCAGCCTTCACCCGGTCCACCGAGACGTGCTCGGCCTTGCCACCCAGGTCGACCACCAGGTGCTTGTCCCCGTGCTCCAAGACCCGGAAAGGCCCATCATAAGGGGGCTGCAGGGGGCCTCTGTGCGCATCGTGCCGGATGAACACGTGCTCCGCCGAGCGGAGCTCTGCGGGAACCTGGGACACCTGAGTACCGTGCTGAGTAGTAGGGATCGGAACAAAGGCCTCAGCGGCGTCACGCAGGAAAGCCCGCTGGGCCGACGCCGACCAGGGAGCCGATGCATTTGGGAGGAAATCCCCCGGAACTCTCAGCGGCTGACCGTAGACCATCTCCGCTGTAGAACACTGCAGATCTTCCTTAGGTGCGGTCCTCAGGCCCAGCATCACCCAGGGCAGCTTGTCGACCCAGTTACCGTCCGTAAGGCCGGCCTTGAGGGCCGCCTTCATGGAGCGATGAAAGCGCTCGCAGAGACCGTTAGCCTGAGGGTGGTAAGCGGTAGTCCTGTGCAGCTTAACCCCCAAACCGCCTGCCACAGCGTTCCAGAGCTCGGACGTGAACTGAGAGCCCCTGTCTGAGGAAATGTCTGACGGGGTGCCAAAACGACACACCCACGTTGCAATGAAGGCCCGGGCAACGTCTGCGGCTGATGTCGAAACGAGCGGAACCGCCTCCGGCCAACGGGTCGTCCTGTCCACCATGGTGAGGAGGTAGGAAAACCCCTGAGAGGAAGGCAACGGACCAACCAGGTCAATGTTGACGTGATCAAACCTCCTCTCAGGCACCAGGAAACGCTCCAACGGGGCCTTCGTGTGGCGGTGCACCTTAGCGCGTTGACAAGCCACGCACTCCCTGGCCCAAGTCCTCACGTCCCTTTTCAGTCCTTGCCAAACGAACTTCGCCGCTACCAAACGGACCGAAGGTTTAACGCCGGGGTGTGACAGGCCGTGCACAGCCTCGAACACAGGACGCCTCCAGCTGGCAGGGACGACAGGCCGCGCCAGGCCCGTAGAGACGTCACACAGGAGAGTAATGCCCGCGTCGCCGAACACCACGTCCTCCAAGCGCAGCCCCGCGCTCTCCACCTTCAGGGCCTGGACGCCGGGATCTGTGACCTGGTCTGCCGCCATGCGAGTATAGTCCAGGCCCAACTGGACGGCACCGATGACGACCCTGGAGAGGCAATCAGCAACCAGGTTCGACTTGCCAGCCACGTGCTTAATGTCCGTAGTGAACTCCGATATGTAGGACAGCTGCCGCTGCTGACGTGCCGACCAAGGCTCCGCCACTTTTGACATGGCAAAGGTGAGCGGCTTGTGGTCGACAAACGCCGTAAATTCACGGCCTTCCAGCATGAAACGGAAGTGCCGCACGGCCAAATAAAGTCCGAGGAGCTCCTGGTCAAAGGCGCTGTATTTGCGTTCTCTAGGCGTCAGCTGGCGGCTGAAAAAGGCGAGCGGCTGCCAAGCGCCCTCCACCCACTGCTCGTGCACTGCGCCGACCGCGTAGTCTGACGCGTCCGTGGTGATGGAGATGGGAGCCGTAGATGATGGGTGTGCCAGCAAAGCCGCCTGAGCCAACGCGGTCTTGACCTCAGCAAAAGCGCCGTCCGCCTCTGCTGTCCAGTCGATCTCCTGGACGGGGGTCTTGCCTTTCAACGCTTCATACAGCGGCCGCATGATGTGTGCGGCCCGGGCGATGAAACGGTGGTAGAAAGTCACCATCCCCAGAAACTCACGGAGCGACCGGGCTGTGAGCGGGCGAGGAAACGCCGCAACAGCCTCCACCTTCGCTGGCAGAGGTGTCGCACCGCCCTTGGTGACGCGGTGCCCCAGGAAATCGATGTCCGACACCCCGAACTGGCACTTTGCAGGATTGATGATTAATCCGTGTTCGTTGAGCCGTGTGAAAAGGGCTCGGAGGTGGGACAGGTGCTCCTGCACTGAAGCGCTGACGACGAGTATGTCGTCGAGGTAAACAAACACAAACGGCAGGTCCCGCAGCACCGAATCCATCAGGCGCTGGAACGTCTGAGCGGCATTCTTGAGTCCAAAAGGCATCCGCAGGAACTCAAAAAGTCCAAAAGGCGTTATCACTGCTGTCTTGGGAATGTCCAGGGGGTGCATGGGCACCTGGTGGTATCCACGCACCAGGTCCACCTTGGAAAACACCCCCGTACCGGCCAGATGCGCCGAAAAGTCCTGAATGTGCGGCACCGGATAGTGGTCAGGCGTAGTGGCGTCGTTGAGTCGGCGGTAATCCCCGCACGGCCGGAACCCGCCGTTCGATTTGGGAACGACGTGCAGGGGGGAAGCCCAAGGACTGTCGGAGCGGCGGACAATGCCCAGGCGCTCCATGGTTGCGAACTCCGCCCTCGCTACAGCCAGCTTAGAAGGGTTCAACCGCCGGGCCCTGGCGTAGACAGGAGGCCCCCCGGTAGTGACGTGGTGTTCCACGCCATGCTTAGTGGTAAGCGCAGAGAAGGTGGGTAGCGACAGGTCTGGAAACTCGGCCAACAGTCTGAGAAACGTGTCTGCACCTGACAGCGAGCCTGACAGCCCGTCGTACGCTGCGCTGCCAAGTGTGCACACGAGGGAAGAAAACGTTAAGGCATCAACCAAACGCCTATTCTTAACGTCCACTAAGAGTCCATGAGCACACAAAAAATCCGCTCCGAGGAGGGGAAAAGAAATGTCCGCTGTCACAAAATCCCAGCTGAAACGCTGTCCTCCGATGCACAAACACATAGGCCTCACGCCGTACGTGCGAATGGGACTGCCGTTAGCCGTCGTCAATCGCGGTCCGTGCCCCCCACGGGCGACGTCTTCACTCGACGCTGGAACTACGCTCCGTTGAGCGCCCGTGTCACACAGAAACAGGCTCCCCGAAACGCTGTCGCTGACGAAGAGGAGCCTGCACGTGCCGCCGACGCTCAGAGCCACTACTGAGCGCCGGCCCCTCCGTTTCCCGGGGGTTTGTAGCTGCACGGAGCGATGCATCTCTTCGCCCTTGTCCCGAAACGTGCGTGGTAAACACACTCTCCGGTGTCTCCACGCCGGCTAGCCACAGCCGTGTCCGGCCTCCGCCACGCTTTCTTGACTGCCGGTTGGGCCGCTGAG